TCCTCATTCATGGCCTCTGCCAAAGCAGTACCTGAGCACCTTACTTTACTTGCAGTAGAAATCAGAGGGAAAAGTGTCAATCTTGAGGTCTGGCTTCACTTCATTGCTGTCAGCGGTGGTCTTAGTTGTTGAAATCCCTCTTTTCTCTTGGTGGGGAGGGAGGGGGTGGATAACCGTTGACTGGCATGCCCCAAATTTAACTTATGATTAGTGAAGAGGGATGAAATGCTGATATGGATCACACACACACCACCCCCCAGAATAAGTTGTTCTGGTGTCTGAATTTCTGTGTTGTTACAGCAAATGTGAAGGACGTTCTGGGAGGAGTGTGCGTGTATGTTGAGTGTGTCCCCCTCCTCCCCACCACTCAGAGAAGCATAACTGGCACTACCAGCTGCTTTTTCATTTGGCTTGAGATAAAAATACACTGAACAGAAGAACATCTCTTGACAGAAATACTTACAGAAGTAATAATCTTTTGAAATATTCTGCTATCTCTTTCTCCATTTAGCCTTTTCCAATTAATATTTTTACAGTCTTTGTCTTGAGTTTGTAGCTTAACTGTATTGTGTTGTGGTTAAATTGGCTACTGATTTTTTTTATTTTTTTTTTAAACAAATTAGTTCTTGGCTTGTTGGCTTCTCCTTTTTCTCCTCTAAGCTGGCTCCAAACTTGTATTGGTACTTAAAATTAATATTTTTTACTAAAATTTGTCTTTATGAAAGCTCTTGAATATGAGAATAAGAAGTTTGCTATTGGTGTTTTATCTTCCAGTGAGATTAAAATGTTGCATTTTAAAAGATATTTAAACAGGTTTTTTTCACTCTTAACTGTCGAGCACCTTGGATCTTTTAGATAAAACTAATTTTAAAAGTTAGTGAAGAATCAGTGAGACAAACCACGTGGAAATGTTACTGACTTTGTTTTAACCCTGTCATTTCCAAGTGTGGCTGCCGGGATGTGGAAATTCTTCTAACAGGGGCATGATTGCAATAGCTAGGGATGGAAGTGTTAAAGAGACTCATCTTGTATACTGTGTATTTGAGAAGAAAGACGTGATCATGATGTGATACTGTGAAGATTTAAGGGAGTTCCTGTTTGCCACACATGTTCTATCAGTCCCAGATACAAAATACTGTGGCATTCAATGGATGATCTCACTGTTTTACAAGGTAATGGAAATTCCTTAACCTGACCTATCCTGAGTTCCTTATCTACAAGAGTTGAAAATCACATCACAAATTACTGATGGGACTGGTCATAAATCACACTGACACCATGCGCCCTGGGAACTGTACTTCATCTACCAGAACACTGTGTCGTTTGAAGTTAAAAGCCTGTTGCCTGTAAACTAGTTATTCGGCTGTCTTGGCTTAAGTGTGACACGATTTAAGACTATCACTGGAATTCCCTGGTTTGTTCATTTGTGTGGGGCATCATGGACCCAATATGATTAGAGGATCTCAGTCTTAGTCTGTCTTAGAATTTCAAATTTGTTCCTTACAAATGACTTGACAAGAGATCCTGCATCGAGAAAGCTGTGGTTTGTTTTTTTTTAAAAATGTGACTATTTGTGTATAGCAGGGTGACAACGTTATACTAGTGTTTATATAACTTCAGCAGATAAACTTTCCACCTAGTGAAGTACCTATGTGTAGATGTGGTTTGAAATACTTTTATTAATATTTTGAATACTGGCTTTTGGAGTGGAGGTTGCTCCACTTTATGTAAAGTACTTCAGTGTGCTATTGACTGATTGACAAGTTTATTTAACCTATGCTGGATTTATTGGCACTAGGTCACTTGGGCCATCTGTTTTAATTAGTTCAGGGAGCTTGGGAAATTATTATAGTTACCTGCAGCTAAGCTTGTGTTATCAGCCTTGCTTTTATCTGATTGTAGTGTTTGTGTGTGCCATCAGGCCAATAGCATAAAGTTGAACCTGACGTCCAGAACTCATCCAGAGTGTCTGCAAAGGCATGTTTCTTGATTTCACCATCCTATAGTTTTTCCTCTGGCAATATCAGAATTAGTAAAACCTGCTGTTGAGGTTTTTAGTGGTGTGATGAAGATCTGGTGCAAGTATAGTAGCATAGCTAGAGGAAAGTAAGGAATAAAAGCATTCTTTTCATTGTGGTGGGGGCAGGGAGTCAAAGAAAAGAGAGTTGACAAGGTCTTTATGGGGTAAAAAAGCAGAGACTAGCATTTATGCTGCTTTAATTCTCAAAACAGGTTTTGCTTGCAGCTGGTTTGGGGGTGTGGTCATGCATCTCTTTTGTTAACAAGACTTTAAACAACTAATTCATGTTGCTTAGGAAGCTGGTGAATCTATTGCTTAACGATAGCTGAGACTGTATCCTGATAGAAGTTGGGGCACCTATGTTAGCAAGCCCTTTACAGTCTCAAAGATAGTGTTCTCAGAAATAAAGGAATAGATAGTATTAAACTATTTCCCCATGTATAGTTCTGCATGCATTCTGGGTATCTCAGTATAACTGAAATTTAGTAAATTAAATATTACAGTGGTTACTAGAAACTAAAAAAGCAGTTGACTCCTGAAAATGAGTCAGTTGACTCCTTAGGTTGCACGGATGAGTGGCTTTCAAGTTTTTTTGAAAGGATGGTGTCACTCTTTGAATATTGCTTGCCTTCTAAACAGCAAACTCTTTGAGGAAGAAGTTGAAGCTTGGAAGTCTGCACATTGTGTGTGTGTGGAGGGGGAACCAAAACCAGAACCCCAAACCACAACAAATCCCAGCTATAATCATTCTGGAGAGCAGAGATCCATTCTGGTTTTGAGTAAAAAGAGACTATCTCCTCCTCACCCCAAGTTTCTATTTTATTATCTTTAATTGAAAGTCTTGCTTACGCTACCAGCCAGTTTTAAATCTGTAGTTTTTTCAGGTCTTGCCAGCATGGAACTTGAAAAGAAATAGCATTTAAATGTGAAACACTTCAGTTAGCAGGCTCTGCTGGCTGCTTGTAGATGAACTGAAAATTTATTTGGACTGTTCAGCTATGGAGCTATGATCATTGAAAACTGAAGGGCTGAAGCGGGGGGGGTTATGTTCTGGAACAGCGATTACTAAAGTTTGTTGCTAATGCAATGCCTGTTGTGAGTGGTGCCATATTATCACCTTTGAATTTGCAATCAGTGCCAGATTAAGTAAGCTGATGTCTTGTGGCCCTAATAAAAGTGACCTTGGGCAGTTCTGCAACTAGAGTGGTATGTTGCAAATGACAAAGTTTACTAGTAGACAGGTTAACTCCTGCTATCCAGTAACATTGTTAAACATAAGTTTTCAAGAAACTAACAACATATATAAGTAATTATAGCATTATCATTTCAAATAGAGCACTGATATATGGTCCTTGTCTAATGTCTATCAATGCTTTGACTAGAATCTAAAGACCTAAACAATTATGGTAATTAGTCTAGGTTCAGAATTTGGTAGGATAAAAGAGGACTTCTTTGTGTGTAAGACTTTACTTACCATAAATAAAACTTGAAGGTTCACAGTATAAAACTACGATCTTTTGAAAGCCATCTAGTTGGAGGCAATTGCACAGCTTAACCTGTGGACAATTCTGGAAAAGACAACTGTGCAACACCTTTTGGTGTTTTTCAAACTAAGGGCTGACTTTCCTCTCACAGGAGGTACATAGCTCTGCTGTGCTTAGTAAAGACCTTAATGTTCTTCTGAATATACAAGGTTTCATAAGGGAGAAATAAATTGTGCCTTTTATTAACAACTTTGTGCTTTTTCTTTATTAGTGATCATGAAATGCGTGTGGCTCACAGCACTGCAGACAGAAGCTCAGCTCGTCCACAGAACAGGTGCTGTATACACAATTGCAGTAAAAAAAAAATCTTGTGTGTAAACTTGGTACGTGTCAGTCTTACCTTCCATGGAGGAAGTCAAAAATGTATGCTAGCTGGAAGTAGAAGGAAAGAAGAAACCCTTGCTAATAAAATTAGGTGTGATGTGAAGCCAGATTCTTTTTGCCACTGGGAAAGGTTCAGCATAGGATTCTTATGGATGAAGGAAAAACTTGATTCATTTTGTGATCGATAGATGGATGTGATACCTGAATCCTTCCCTTGCTGGTACATGGGAGGAAATAATCTTAAAAGCCTGAAATGGCTTAGATTTACTCCTGCTTAATACTGTGAAGCTGACCAGCCATGTTATCTGCACACTGTTGCATTTAATAATCTCTGTGGTTTTTGCACTGCAAAGTTTTTAATATATTACTCACAAATTATACATGTGAAAACAAGGTATGTTGTGCTGCTACGCTTGTGATTTAGTATGCACTACTAGGGTGGCCGAGAAATAGCAATTGTAATAAACCTGAGTTTCCTCACAGCTGCAGCTTGGCCACATTGCAAATATTAGAGCACAAATCTATTAGTATGCAATAATGCAAGGCCGAGGGCAGTGAATTTCTAATCTAGCCACAGGAGTGGAGAAGGATCTTGAGATGCATATTTTCTCCAGAACGTAGACCACTATGTGAAGGACTTGAAAGGCTGGTTGAGGAGGAATTTCTGTAAGAAAGTGAGAATGGAGTGATTCCAGGAAGCTATTTGCATTTTATTCAAAACTTTAGTCTAAGTTAACTGACCTGGAGAGCAAATTAAAAAAATACGGTAACAGAATGGTCTGTCAGTCTGTATATGCTAGCTGAGGTCTTCCGCAAAACAGATTAATGTCCTTTTTTAAAAAGGTGAAGAAAACCTTGCTTGTCACTCATTGGCTTCTTTGGAAACTTTTCTCTTACAGCTTTTATTGCAGGTGTGTAAACTCTAGCAATCCTTTCAGTGTTAAATGGGCAATACTGCAGAAAAGAAATAGGGAATGATGAGAGATTTAAGATGGAAAGGGAAAAAGGAAAGTTCCTTCATCTGCTCTCTCTTCTCTCCCAGTCTGGTAGAGAGGCACCAATGAGGAACTTCCTAAAATTTTAACCTCCACATTCATGTCAGTACGTGCATCATGGCACAGCAAGGCCATGTTGGTGAGCTCCTCTCAATGCTGGATTCTCCAATTCTGGGTGTCCTGGAAGATATAACAGCTGCGTTTAAAGATAATCTCATTTGTGGTATGTATCCTTTTACAAAATTCGAGGAAGGGTTTTGCTTTTACACCAATAAGAATAATGCAGAATAATGTGATTTTCTCTATCAAACACAGTATTTGCAAATGCAACTTGAAAGAAACTCTTGATATTTGGGTTTGAAATTGCTTTAAGGATTGAGGCTTCTTTTCAGTCCATTCTGCTTAATGGCATGCCTCTTGGAAGGTCTGTTATGTAATTGTTAAAATGCTATTATAAAATGAGTAGCTTTTCCTGGGGTATAACCTCAAGTTGTGAGCCGATGAAACTTTCTTTGTCAAGTGTATCTAGAAAGAATTAGGTGTCATCCACATTATGGGAACTAGTGGGATTTTGTTCATTCAAAAAATAAACAACAAAAAAACCCAACAAAACAACAGACCCAGCCTTTCCTGAAAAAAAATGATTGCTGCTATTAAGGCATGCCTTATGTTGATAGAGCCTTTTCAGAGTGAGAGAGCACTGTCAGTGTCCTTGTCCCTCTCTTCTATCTGCTGAAGGGAGAGAATGTAAAGTTATTCCTGAACACTTTACCTGTACTGGGTAAAATACTCTTGCAGTTCAGCTACCTCTAGGTTTTTAATGTTAGACAGTAATTGCTAGTTATTAAAAAAACTAGTTACTTCCCCTGAGCTGAATGCAATTGCTTGAATGGTTAGGAACTAGGAAATGTAGTTAAGAGGTCTCATTTTCCTAGAGGTCTGGTAAACACTAAATATTGATGTATGTTATAAATTGTGTAATAGTTATTAATAAGTTGTTACAGGGACCTTGCACAAATGTTTCATTTTTAGTGTATTAAGAATAGTTTGGTTTTTTTCTTGTTGTAAACAAACTGATAGACCGTGGACCTATGCTTGTGAACAACCTGGTGGACTATTACTTGGAAACCAATTCTCAGCAGGCACTGCATATACTGTCCACACTGCAAGAGCCTCATGACAAGGTAAAAAGATCTTGTTAAGTATGGCAGATTTTAGCCTGGTATTGGGGCAGCCTTTAAATAGCATCTGTTAGAACTCTGTTTTTCCGTTCTGGTATAGAATTACCTTGTTGTAGAGGTGTAGTATCTCTGTAGTAAGAGTAGTTAAGTTTTAAAAAAAACTTCAAAGGTCTCCATTTCTTGAGTTGCTTAAACTGACCTAGTTCAGCAAAGAATCTCTATAAATGAAAGGTTTCTGAGGACTAATGTTGTCTGTTTGCAATGCTATTGCTGCTTGTTCAGTGCTAGATGTGTTAGTCTAAAACAAATTGGGTATTTTGAGAGCAATTAAGGATTTTTAAATAGATTGAGAATGGCACTACAAATTGTTTTACTTCTGCTGACCAGAATGTTTTTATTGTTTATTTACGATAAACATTTTGAAGTGCAGTGACTGCTTCTGGACTGAATAGTTTGCATTTTGCTACCAGCAGACTTAAATTTATTGCTGGGTTTTATTTGCTTTCCTGTATATTTGTAAAATGCCCATAGTTTCCATAATTGGCAATGGCAAACTGCTGAATACAGATTGGTGAAAAAGAATATATACCAGTTAAATATAAATACCTTTCCTTTTTCTACCACCCTCTGCAAAATCCTCTATCAGCACCTACTGGACAAAATTAATGAATATATGAGCAAAGCTGCTACCCGTTTACCCACTCTTTCTCTGCTGGGACATGTGATAAGACGACAACCATCTTGGAAACATAAGCTTTCTCAAGCACCTCTCCTACTTTCATTACTTAAATGTCTCAAGGTAAGAATTGTCAGTGGTGTCCACAAAACACTTGTGCACTGGATGTAAACATACATACTTGTAATGCAAGGCATTTGTTTTCTGTTTTGATGTCATTTATTCAGTTAAGCTGTGAGAAGAGATAAAATGTTGATTAAATACTGACAGCAGTGGAATTACATGAACTAAATACTCTGTGCTGATCCTGTTATTACTGACAGTCTTGTTTCTAAAAGCTGCTGTCACTGTGTAACTTTGAGTTAGGGAAGTTTACTAAAACTTTTCTAGAAGTAAGTTAAAGTCAGAGGGCCATCGGTGAAGTTGATGGATATCTTGAATGTGAACTTAAAGAGAAATATAGCTTCCCATTAGTGCATTCTGAAATTTGTGCATGTAAGGTAATATACTCTACTTGCAGTGTAGATGGGCCATGCAATAGACTATTCCATGGTGAAATTACCTTGGAATTAGCAGACTTTCCCTTCTTAGCTACAGACGTGCTGGATTACAAGGACGTAGCTGTTTCTGTATGCTTTGTGGTTTGGTTTTTTCCGATCTGCAAATTTATCAGTTATAATACTGTGCAGTATTGTAACAGTGGATAAAGAATGGAAAGTGTTTTGAGACCTAGAATTAAAATGCATGATGTAGTCAAGTGCCAGTGCTCTTCAAAACAAAAACACAATGAATTTGTAACTGCCAAAGAAGCAGCTACAAGTGCTGTTACTGGAACTCCTGACATGCCTGACGAGTTCTGTTATCCTTTTCAGTGTGAGTCTTCTCTGATTGTGAGGGGAGTGAAGTGTGTCAGAAAGCTGGTGGGAGTAGAACAGAGCTGTGGAAGTGCTAGGGATGTGTACAGAGGCATACGGATGGACATGAAATGTGCTGTGAAAGGTTATGTCTGGACCGAGGGAGAATAGAGGCCGTAGATTACACAGAGGAAGAAAAATCCATAGCACTGAATATGTCCAACCTGAGTGGCTCTTGGGAGGGAGATACCAAGACCAGTTCAGTGGCACCTGGCCACAGGCTTACCTGTGCTGTTTACACTTCTGTCCTGACAGAGCAGAACTACCAAGGGAAATGCACATTAAGCTGGGGAAGCAAGTAGGGACCGCACCAGGAAAGAATTTGGAACATTTTCTGTGTCCTGTCCTAAAGTCTGGTTCTCTATTACTGTTTCATCTAACTAAAGATTTTTACTGCCACGCCCCTTTTGGTGTAAGCCGTGGGGTTTGTTATTGTTTGAATTACTGCTTTATGAAATACTTAGCAGCCAGAGTCATCAAACAGGTTTAATAGAAAAGCTTTTGACCCTTGCGTTGGTAATTGGCCAATGTCCTTTAACACCCTGATCAGATTTGCAGTTTCTTAGGCTCTGAATGCTGTGTGTGCTTAGCTCTGGGAAAGAAGGCAGGCGATATGTAAGATGCTTTACATACCAGTGATTTTTTCTCCTACCTAATTGTGGAACTGTGGCGATGTTCCCCTTTTAATTAAGTCAAGTCTTTATACAGAAAAGCAGCAGAATAGGAGCAAGAATCCCAAATCTTTTTCCTTAGAGTTGTTCTGGATGAAAGAGACAATAATCTTGGTTTATTAAGTTATGGTGGGTTTCAGAGGGACTGTTTCAAAATAGAAAACTCTTTCCATGATGATGATACCATGTTCATGTCATCCTTGGAAAAAATTAAGTTCAACTCTTTTAACTGACTAATGCAGGTTTTTTCCCTTCTTGCAGACTGACACAGATGTAGTAGTACTCACCACAGGTGTCCTAGTGCTAATAACCATGTTGCCAATGATTCCTCAGTCTGGCAAACAGTACCTTCATGATTTCTTTGGTATCTTCGGGCGTCTCTCAGCCTGGTGCTTGCAGAATTCAGGTGAGATTTCAACTTTCTTGCATGCAGTTATGGTTTACTTGTATCCTTGTGACTCATGCAGTTGGTGAGCACTTTTTTTTGTGAGACCCTTAATGGTCTGAGATTATTTAAATGCAGCAAATTTAAAAGCCCACAAACTATTCTGTTCTTTGATAGTTAGCATCAGGGAATGCTGCTTTCCTCAAAATTTAGAAGTATCTTAGATTCTTCCATGTGGTGCTGCTACTACACAAATTTTCACTGGACTGAAGTGCTACCCTGATGACAGTGAAAAGCAGAGATTGATCTTAATGGATAGAGAAGGGAAAATGCTGACATTTGAAGCAGACATTTGGGAATTTGAGATTCCCAGGTATCGATGGGGAGGGGGAAAAAGCAACATATAAGAGGTTTTTCTTAATGTGCAACCATCAATAGTCAGGAAGGTGTTGGTAAAACTAGTCTTCTCAGTTACAGCATTGATTCTGATGAATTGGTTTTGCTGAATTTGTTGTAAGGTGTTTGATATCTAACACGTTATCTATGTGTGTGTCTCATTGCTATATGAACAAATGCTGTGTTAAGCCCATAGAGATGCTATTTAGAGGGCTATTTTGCATTGCAAGTAGGATTGGAACTTCTAAGATGGCTAGTAAGACTCAAGTCTGTCGTGATTGCTTTTTGTGGATACAAGGTTTTAGTTTTTACCTTTGAAGTGAAACAAACCTTAGTTTTCTTTTTTAATCAGTCTTGAATACTGGTTTGCTATCTTGGGGGGTTCAGGTTTTAACTTGAATAAAAAATCCTGTGCTTTGAGAATGACAGGATACTGATTGGAATTAATGGTCCATATCTTAATTTTTGGTTTTGCTGTGAGCTGATGAGTAAGTGTTGCCTGTTCTCTCAGAAGACTTCGCAGTTTCGCTAGGGACTGTACATATCTCAGAAGATTTGTTCCAGTAACATTTCAAATTTAAAAGTACTTTGCTTGCATTCTTAGAAGTTTTGTTCTTTTCTCCAATGTAATCAAAAAGATTCTAACTACCTTTTCCAGGTCACGTGGCAGAGATTTATCTTGTCCATCTTCATGCCAGTGTCTATGCTCTCTTTCATCGTCTTTATGGAATGTATCCTTGCAATTTTGTCTCCTTTCTGCGTTCTCACTACAGTATGAAGGAAAACTTGGAGACCTTTGAAGAGGTAGTCAAGGTAAAATGCTGCTTGTCTCTGTGTTATCTGAGACAAGGACTTGATAGCTGTATAAAGGCAGGTATTTGCCTATTTAATACACTACATTGATTTAACTGAGGGCTGCTCAATAAAACAGAATAAAAACAGGCTCTTGGAGGACTGAAATCTCAGTTCGGAGCAAGATCATCTCTTGAAGCCGTGATCATGTGTACTAGCTTTATCTGTTAAATATAATGTTCTGAACTATTGGGACCAGTAGGTTGCTCATCAGCTTTGTGTAGTTTAGTGCAATCAAAAGATGCTGTACCGATAATACATACTTCTTCTTGCTCTTACTCATCCAGCCAATGATGGAACATGTGCGAATTCATCCAGAATTAGTGACTGGATCTAAGGACCATGAACTGGACCCACGAAGGTATATATGTTCACTCTGCTATTAGGAAAGGCTATAAAAGAGCAGCTTTTAGCTGGATTATTTCAGAAGGCTTACAGCAAAACCTTTTCTGTCAGCAACAGTGTGTGCCAGTGGTGTTTTGCCACCCGTATTCATAGGTACACCAGGTAAACATGGAGGCTTTCTTCATCCAAGGTTACAGCTGGATGAATAAGCAAAAACTGTTGTGAAAGGCCATTAACAACAATGTTGGGGTTCTAAATTCATTTTGTGTCTGGGATAGAATCTGTCTTCTACTTAACGGTTGACTACATCTTAATTTTATGACTCAAACATCCTCATAAAGTTCTAAAAGAATTTGCCTATAATGAATAAAGACAAACTACCACTGACCTGCTTCATTGGCTTAAGGTTTGGGTCGTATTTTTTTTGTTTGTTTGAAGTACTTGGTGGGATTGAAGTGTTTAAAATGGCTTCAGTGTGTCTTGTTTTGGTACCTAGATATTGGTTCAGTTATCAGATCAATTCTTTTAACAGGTATGTCTTAACATTATCAGCTGTATTTAGTTTTCTTTAGAAATAGGCTCATTTGCCTGCAGCAGCACCACTTGCTGCTTTTCTCTTGTCTCCACAGGCCCAGCCACTGAAGAGGAGAAATTGACTCTTGTTGCTGCACAGTAGTGCTCTTGCCCTGCTTTTCAGAGCCACTAGGAAAACACTCCTAAATGGGAACCTATTGAATATCACAGTGCTCAGTTTTGCAGGCTTCTCCCAGACAGGGGGGAGGGTGGCACCACTAAAAGGAGTGCAGTTGGCACAAAACCACCAGTTGAAGCTTTCTGATTTTGGTATCTTGCATTCAAAAGCAACTCAGCCTTTAATAGACAGGCTTCTGTGCTTTCTCTTCTTTATAGTGAACTTCCATTCTCTGAAATATTGGGCAGATCTAATCTGACTGCTTAATATAGTGAGAAAAAGTTTTCAGAATGAAGGAGATAGTAATAATAAAAAAACATTCCCAAAACTTGAGAGGAAAAACACAGACCCGAAACTGGCATTGCAGGTCGTGTTTGCTTAAATAATGTAAGATTCCCTCACTGCTGGCATGTCTAAATTTTGACTACCAACCTCCGAGTCTAGTTGAGCTCATTTCTACAGCTGCTGAAGCTCAGGATCAACCAAGTCTTCGTATGCTGTTCCTTCTTTCCAGAGTGCTCCGTGGCAGACCTTTACGGATCTCTATGTCAAAGCTGTTTGTCTCCTCTCTGAGACCCCCTCTCACAAGTCATCTGGTTGCAATTTCTGTATGGTGTCTTGTTCCAGTTTTGGCTGGGAGCTTGCAAAGCTGTCTGGAACAAATGAGCCATCCTACAAGCCAATTCCTCATATCTCCAGGAACTCTTGTTTTAACAGTAATTGACTAACTTACTCTCTTGGATCCAAAAACTGTCTGCAGGTGGAAAAGACTAGAAACTCATGATGTTGTGATAGAATGTGCCAAAATCTCCCTGGACCCTACAGAAGCCTCGTATGAAGATGGCTATTACTCTGTGTCTCGGAAACTCTGCACAAGCTTAAAACATCACATTGACAGACAGAGCAGCTATGGTAAGACCTGCCTGATGGCTCATGAATACCCATTTCCTGGAGGAAAACTGGTCCTATAGCAAAAAGACATCTTCCTAATTTATCCCACTTAGCCTGATTCTTAGGCACTGGAAAATAAACTGTCATTTAAAAAAAAAATTAAATATGTATATCTGCTGTGGTCATGCAGATGTACAGCATGTTTGCAAAGTTGCCTTTCCACTGCCTCTTCCTCACCTGTCCTCCCTGCTGCAAAACAATGAACCAATAGGAAAAAAAAGCTGTAGTATTTAATGTATTCAATAGGTATTTTCTTGGGCTGGAAGAAAAGTCTTGTTTGCTAGCTATGACTGCATATGTTGAATGGATTTGAAATGTTTTGGCTAAAAGCCTTTAACTACTAGCTAGAAACATCATTGATTTGTATTTGATGTGTAGGATACTTTTAATTTTTTACTTTTTTTTTTTTTTTTAAACTTTCAGGGACTTCTACCCCATATTCCACTCCTCAGCTAACACTATCATACATGCCAGGGCAGCTACCTCAGATTCTGAGCCCACAGTCAATACGGCCAACAACTGAGCCACAGCAGGTAAAGCAGAAGATAAAGCACAGCGTGCTTTTAATGCTTTGCAGTTTCTTGTGAGAATCTTAAAAATTCATGTTTGAGAAATACTGTGAATTCTTCAGAACTTAGTGTACATTTCACATTTAATCCCCATCTGATTTCCTGTGTCAGAACCTGGGTACAGGTGCTTCACATGTTCCTTTGAGCTTCACTGATTTCTATTTATTGTGTGTTGCTTTCACATAGGTTACCATCTGGAGTCCTTCTGTAGTTTGTGGTATGACCACTCCACCAACCTCCCCTGGAATTGTCCCATTGGAATCATCCCAGTCTGCATCACAACCTTACAGCAAAGCTTTTGGCACATCTGGTACGTGCTGAATTTTGGAATTAGGCCTTCAAGGTTTATTGTAACAGAAATTCTGGCTGTAAATTTTGCTGTCAGCTTCTTAAATGGGAATGCCACACCATGCAGTCGATAGGCTTAAGTCACTACTGTGAACAGAGTACCTGGTCATCTAGGGCAGTGCTAATGCCAACACTGAGATAGGAAATAGGTTGCAGTGACTTAAGTGCCAAAGCCTGACGCAGGCCTTTTGGAAGCTGAGCACTTTTATCTTCTTAATTCACTTTCAACTATTTATCAAGTTAATGGTTGAGATAGTGTTTAAACATCCAGTTCTTCACATACAATATTCAGCTGAAAGGAGGAAATGGGAGTCTGCTGAGAAAACTTTTGCCCCTCCTTTTCAGCAGGGGGGAAAGGAACACCCTTGGGAACGCCAGCCACATCTCCTCCTCCATCCTGCACTTCAGATGACTTTGTACATGTTTCACTCCCTTCAGCTGCTGCCACGCCTCCTAAAAAGGTATAACAAAATTATTTTGCCAAACAAATCTGATTTTTTTTTTTCATTGACTTGACCATAACTCAGAAAGAAAAATCAGAGTAACTGATTTACAAAAAAATGTTGCATTTCACTGCAAAAAACTCATTTTCTTCTAAGTTCAGACAACTATTGCCACTTCCAGTTGCATAGTTTTAATACTTCTTATATTGGCTTGCTATTTAAGCCATCTCCTTGCAGGAGCTTCCTTTCTATGAAACTGTCCAAGAGATTTGTTTCCAACAGATGTCCAATGCAAAGAATCCATTTTGTTTTTTTTGTTTTTTCAGGAGGACAAACCAGATCCTGGGAGGCCTTTACTGTACCGACAGCAAAATGTCATAAACAGCGATAAATCATTGGGTAAACTCTGTTTTCCTCTCCCCATTACAATAACCTGTTGTAAACAAATCCTGTTCTTATTGACACATGCTCCATTTGCTGAACACTTCCTCAGATTTTTCGCTTCCTTTTTTCTTTTCCCCACGTTCTTCATAGTTCCAGGATCCTGCCTTAACTGTGATTCAACTTAAAACCTTCTTGTGACGCTTTTGATTTCATTTTAACTATTCACCTTCAGAAATAGCTAGCAGATTTTTTTTTTAACTGGCCCTCATGCATTCTTATACATGTTTAAATATACAGATCTATACTGAAGGCTGAAAAAGGATATTTACGGTTTTTTTAAAGCTGATTCTTTGAGGGTGATTTTTTTTTTTATTAGAAGCAACAAGTTGTATATGAAGTCTTAATTGAACAAGTTTTATGTCACATGTCTGGACCAAACTGTAAGGCTGCACATAAGGATAGATATGATGCTCCCTTTTAAAGGCTCTTGGAAAAACTTTGGGGTTTATCTACAATTATATTCCTGTACTTGAACTTTTTTAAAGTCCTGTGGAATATTAAAATCAACAGTGGATGGTTGAGGAACTCAGCTTCTAATAGGTAAATCTAGATTCCATTTTCCATTCTCTGTCATCTACATCTGTGACAGCTGTAGAAAGGGATTTTGGCACTATATTTGAGACTTCTATTCTGTGAATCTTTACCATCCTCAAAGTGGAGATGATAGTGAAATTCAAAGCTGTATAGCAACAGTGGAATGTGAACTTTCTGAATTACAAGTTAAAAACAGGTGAGGTTTTTCACTGGGTTTCTAACCTGTGACTAAGCTGTGAGGTTTCTATCCTGCATGCTGTAGTGCGTATCTCCCTGGCAGCTGTTGCAGATTTTTGATCAGTAGTCACATATTGTAAGTTTGTATTACATCAGTTGGCTAAACTTCCTTTTTTTTTTTCAGGTAAGTACCGTGTCCCTGTATAGCCAGATCAAAAGCTAAAGGGGAGTTTAATGCTAATGTGGAAGTATAGTAGTCACTCTCCACTGAAGCCAGCTTTTAAAATGTATTTAATGAGTTCAGTTGCAAACAGCACGTCCTCATTCATAGAGGTGGTCACCTGCACTTGTGTGATAGCAAATCTTAAGTTTACAAAATTGCATTTTGGGTACAGGACTGACCTGTGACTGATCTCTGAACTGGTTTCCACATGGAATGGAACAGGATTCAGATAGCTTCCTCCTTTGAGGAAGTATCTGAAAGAGGGACAAGCTTATTCCAAGGCCCTTTCAGCAGTAAAAGGTTTCTGGTTTGTACTGCGATAAAGCTGGAGAAAACCGCTTCTGTACAACTAACTTTTCTTTTTTTTTTTTTCCTTTTCTTCAGATACATCCAGTAGTAAAAGTTCAGTAACCTTAAGTGATCTTCCAGAGTTTTTAGGTCGTTTGTCTTTTGAAGATAGTGCTGAAAAGGACAGAGAGGAAGGTAATTTCTGTCATCCTTACATACATCTTAGCTAAGGAAGTGTTTGTAATGTTGAAATACAAGATACCTAATTATGCTCCCCCCTCCTATCCTCCTCAGATGCAATATCTAAAGAGATCTCCGAGATCACAACCGACGCTGAACACATGGTGCCTAGAGGAGGATTTGACTCTCCATTTTACCGCACAAATGAAAGTCTGTCAGGCTCTCAAAAGAAGACCCATTCAGTAGTCTCTAGCGTTCAGGGACACAGTCAGACCTCAGAGCCTTTAACAACTTCTCTGGACAAGCCTGGGCCTGAGAGTGCACGGGAAACACCCAAACAAACATTTACTCCAATAGACAAGCCCTGTGGAGGCTCTGGAGAAAGCCCTGCTAGTAACAGGGAAGGAACCTCGGGGGAGACAAATATTTTCACTCCCAGCCCTTGCAAAGTACCAGCACAAAGAAGAGTGGTGTTTGGGAGTGGGCAGCCTCCCCTGTATGAGCACCTTTTTGAGGTTGCATTACCAAAGACTGCCTACCTCTTTGTTGGCAAGAAGACTGAAGAGCTGCTAAAGAAAGCCAAGGGAACCCAGGATGACGACTGCGTGTCCTCTACTTCTCCTGTGGAAGTACTGGACAGACTGATACAGCAAGGAGCGGATGCACACACTAAGGAGCTGAACAAGTAGGTGACTGAAAATCTTACTTTGCAAACTTTCTTGTTATTTGTTTTTGTGCTGGCTTTATTTTAATAGCTGTGCCTGAAAAGCAGCTGTGTCTGGAAATCTACAATGAAACCATGTTCTGTGAAACATTACTATTAACTGAGCTAGGGGCTCTGGGTGGAGGATTTTTATATTTGCAGTGGTAATGTGTTTGCTTTGATAGAAAAAAGGGGCTGTGACCATTGTACTCATACTTCCTTCACTAAGCTTGGGATGAAGAAGCAGAGCTGCTGGCTGTGCTGTAAGTGTGGTTTTGGTACCACTGTTAGTGAGATTTGTTTACTTTAAGTCCCACACTACAAAGTAGAGGCCAAGGGAAGATTGACACTTTCTTCTTTCTAATGTACATGAAGCCAAGAACTGGAGAACCAGATTTAACGTTTAGCTGTATCTGCTGTATTCCTTCTTTTCATCTTACTACCCTGTATTCTGCTTTGTCCTTATGCTGTTTTTCTCCGTCTTCTAAGAAACGATGCCCTCCATTCTCTGCCCTTGCAACCTGCTGCTTGCACAGTTCCTCTTTATTCTTTTCATACTGACTGACCATCATTGTACTTTTATTATGCTGTAAGCTCTTTTGAGGTGAGCGTTCCATTTTAAAGTGACTTGCACAGTTTTTTACATTTAAACTTACTGGTTAATGCTGCATTTTCATTTTTCAGATTGTCTCTGCCAAGCAAATCTGCTGACTGGACTCACTTTGGAGGTGAGGAAGTTTCTCGTGTGTTTTGGCAATTTGGCAATCTGTTCCTCTATTATTAGACCTGCTTAAACAATAATCTGCATGGGTTTTTTGACTAATGCTGCAGAAAAATAGTGCCCTCCATTAAGTCATGGTTTATCTGCTTAGCAGATAAGACATCTGTGTTCCAGTGAGATGAGTTGCTTTTTTTCATCTTTGAAAAGTGCAAGCTATCTTCCCCACAATTCTAGACGTTTCTGCTTTTGACCATTTAAGAACTGGCACCCTTCAGAGTGATGCTGATCATCTAACAGATCCTTCCGCCTTTTCAATACTATTTGAATCTAAAACTGATCATTGTTTTTCTTGCTTCATGTGTGTCATATCTTGTATTCTTAAGCTTCTGTGGTGATGGTGAGCTTGGATTTATTTTTTTTAATAGAAGGAGCAATCCATTTGAAGCATGTACATGTTGCCCTGGGAAAAATGTTTAAAATTTTAAGTTTGTGTTGGAGATCAAATGGAGCAGACAGATTTTTAAGTTGGAATTTCAAAGAAATTTAATTTGCTTATTTTAGAAAGTATTTCCCGTATGTGGAACAGTTCAGTAACCTCTTCTGTCTTCCAACTTCGATCCAGGTTCTCCCCCTTCGGATGAGATTCACACCCTGCGTAACCAATTGCTTTTGCTGCACAACCAGTTATTGTATGAACGCTTCAAAAGACAGCAACATGCCCTTCGGAACCGTCGACTCTTGCGAAAAGTGATTAAAGCAACAGCTCTGGAGGAACATAATGCTGCCATGGTGAGCAGGGATACAGCTCTGGCAGTGATTTAAACACACTGATGCTAGAACAAGTATTAATTGGTTTGGCCAGTATCTTTCAGTACTACTGAATTAAAAAAGAAGCCTCACTTCTCACCTTATTAAAGACAGTGTTGGTGGAATGAATTGTGGATGAGTTACGTACATTGTGATTATTAAAACCAGTCGTTTCTATTTGATGGTAGGCAATTGAATCAGTGGATGCCTGCATGCTTGACCCCTGCCAGCATTTACCTTTGGATAATGTTAAAGGCTTCACAGTTAGTGGAGCAGTTACTCAGTGCCTAGCTAGACACCTTATTGCATTGTTTGAAGAAGCATTGTCCTTTCACTCCTCAATTGAGAAGTAATAGCAAAAACTGAAAACTCCAATGTTCTTTTCTGGAGGTATTTACTATGATAAAATTTGAAGTTATAAGTTCATTGAAGGATGTCTCATGACAGATGTAGGCATGCTTCATTCTCTGTCTCCACATTATAGCTAATTCTATCAACAGTTTCACCTTTTGATAATTCAGTAGAAGAGTCAAAAATAGACTTCCAGATAGGTTTTGGAAGATGAACTGTTGCTTCAGCTGTGAAGCCTAAGTGCCTGTCAAAAGCCTGAGCTGCAGTGGAAGGATCTGCTATTGCTCATTGTGCCTTTGGATGGGACTTTGAGTTTTCAGCCTGTCCACTCTATCACCATTTAATCTCTTTTTCGGCCAAAAAAACCAAACCTTGATGGCTTTACTTACCTAGTGACTTAGGACAGATGTTCTAACTGATAAAGCAGGTGTCTTGTCTGATGCTTTGTATGGGATTCTTAACAGAAAGATCAGCTGAAACTACAGGAAAAAGAAATCCAGGCGTTGAAACTGAGTCTGCAGAAAGAACAGACGAGGTACCACCAGTTTCAGGAGGAACATGAAAATATAGTGGCTCAGCTTCACAGCCAGATCAGACAGCTGCAGCATGACCGGGAGGAATTCTACAACCAGAGCCAGGAATTGCAGGTATGAAGCACGACACTGAACGAAATTATGTTATCTACTTACTGGCTTTAAAAATAACCTTCCTAATAACATGGCATGGAATATCTGAAAGTTACATATGTCTGATAGAGATATTGTCCTAATTCAGAATAAGACAGTGCATAATTGGAAATGCCTAACTTAGTCATCATCCTTTTGTAGTTTTATTTTGTCCTGTCTTCACTTTGGAAATAGGAAAATGCAGTTTCTTAGCTGGTCTGGGAACTTTCACAGTTACTCAGTGTAACTTCATTTGCAGTGCTGGGGGTTACGGCCCCCCAGCCATGTGCCATTGCTAGTCCTTATTAAAATTTCAGAACCCTGAGTGAGTTTTGGGCTTTTTTTTGGTTTTTTTTGTTTGAACAGACCAAGCTGGAAGACTGCCGGAATATGATTGCAGATCTGAGGTTAGAATTAAAGAAAGCTAACAACAAGGTGTGTCACACTGAATTGCTTCTTAGCCAGGTTTCTCAGAAGGTAAGAAAAGTCAATGTTCCCAGTGTCCCTTTGTGTCTTTCTGTTTGGGTTTTTTTTCTGATAATTTTTATCAAGTGCTTTTTCTTTCTTGTTCTGAAAGAAGCCTGTGCTTAGTTCCTTAGAATCTGATATTAATTGCATAAAAACACAGACAAATGTGTTTTGGTGAGGAAACTTTGAACTTGGTTCAAAGGCTTCTGGAACTTCTCATTTTGGCTGCTTTTTGCACAGTAGGAGTTTGCAGACTGAGCAAGATGAGCTTGTGTTAAAGCTAAATTATTATTACTAAATAATTACTAAATTATTAGTACTTATTACCTATGATGCATTGGATTCTTGTCTTTGTGTCCCTTCTTTATAAAAATATCCTGTGAACA